AGCCCAGTGATTTCAAATGGAGACTGTCTGTTCTATTTGGAGGCAATTTATGTAATAGTGGCCAGAAACTCTCAGAACTTAGGTGTGATATTCATTGGATTCAGTGGGATGTATGCTTTGTGCAGTGGGGACGTTGAAATTCTTGCTTTAAAAAGTCATTTTGTTCCATTTTGACATAAAGTGAGAGTGAAAGGCAGGCCCCATGATGCTACATGGCTAATAAAACTGCAAAGGCATTTCAGTCTGGGCATAAAAGATTATTTTAAGCATCATCTCCCAGCTCCTCCGTTACTAAGGGAATCCTGTCTCAGCTCAGCGGTGCAGATGGGCAAGTTGCCATGACGATGCTTCTAGGCCTGATTGGAGTCTAAATGCCACAGATGGAGAAACCACTGTCACCACATGACTCCTGAGCAGCTTGGCAGCCCTCTCCCCATCCTTTGTAGTTGACTCACTCCCCCTGGACAAACCTCAGCTGCTTGCCACAGGAGCTTGCAGAGACAGCGGAAATGACCCTAAGGTCAGCAGCCCGCCCTGTCTGATAGATTCACTTTTATCCTGATCTCAGTTGCTCATGCTGCTCCATTAATTGTCTTGTCCTCCCACCCTTTGGACCAGCACGCTCATTTGGCCTTGCCTTTGTGTCTCTAAATGGAAGAGGTACTAGATCTATATCTAGAAACTTCTCTAGAGCCAAGGAAAATATGGAACAAATCATATTGTCTCTCTTGCAGACTTAGTCTGAAAGTTTATGCTGGCTCACTCAAGCCATCAATTGGTCCCTACAAGAACCTAAACCCAATCCTACCCACCTTCCTGGACATGTGGTGCCTGTGTCACTAAAGATGCTCACAGTGTTTTCCAACCCACAAGTTCTTGTTATAGTGTGCTTTTGCCATGTTCCTACTCAGAGTGACCATTCTTCTCAAATTTGGACTAGCATATGGTGGCAGTAAAGTCACACTGTGTGCCTCACAAGGCTAGGTGAAACTGGATTACACAATCTATGTGTGTCCATTTGTAAGGCTTACTCTTGGGAGGCAAACACCATATTATGAGGAGGCACAAGCAGAGACCAGACACAAGTTTCAATCACAAAAGTAGTGATTACCCATATGCCACCACAGAAGGAGTAAATAAGCCTAAAAAAATGGTTTTGGCGCCCAGCTGACATCAGCCCACATCTTTGTTATGGCCCATACCTGAGAAACGATGGGGGAAAAAAGCTCTCCTTACCATGTCCTTGCTACAACCCTGTCAAAGAGAAACCATTCAGTGGTTGTTCTGTGCCCAAAGGCTCAGATTGGTTTATTGTTTTTCAGGAATTGTGTTCCCATTATTTATAATGCCCTTTCTCTACTCCTGGAAAACTGTCCTCTTGCCCCAAGGAATAATTCATATCACCTCCTCTATAAGAATACTTTACTTGGACAAGCACATTTGTCTGTTTGCCTCTCCCATCTTCCCTGCTGTGAGCTCCTCTTGAACTGATATTTTTATCCCAGTGTTTAAGAGTAGATGCTAAATGGAAAAGTTGCAACCAGTTCTTAGTCAAGTGGGAAAGTTACCTATTCCTTGGGTACCATGCAATTACAAATATACATGTGATCACTATAATAATGGGCTAGCAACAGAAGGGAGACAAACCAGATGGCCTTGACTGAAGGCATGTGGTTCCCTGGTATGTGATGTTCTGTTTTCTGTCCCTAACATTTTTATAACAGTAATTTTTTAAAGAAATGCACATTGGCATAATTACATTAAATCTCAAAACCACACTGAAAACAACAGAAGGGGACAATATTCTGGGGAACTTTAAAAACACATCATACATGCTTTTAGATCCACATGGTGGTGACTTCCTCTAGCTGCTGCTGTTCTTCTCACCCTCCCTTTCTCCTTCTACACCCTCATCTTTTGAGTCTTCCTCCTCCTGTTCCGCTTCCATTCCTTTTCCTCTTACTCTCTCCTTCACTTCTTCCTTTTTCTTTCTTCAAATACATTTCCATTTGCTAGTTTCTTGAAAGTCTGAGGCCTGACCTAGTAAAAATAAAAATTGTATCCTGAAAGTATTCTGGTGAGGTTGCAAGTGTGACTTGATTTTGCTGGAGTGCATTGACTTGAAGTTCATTTTCTTGGTGGATGAGCATCAGGGGATTTTACACTATGGCTTCGTAGGCTTTTGATTCCATCCAGTAGTGAAATCCCCAAGTTCAAAAAAATTTTAAGTGCATTTTGTCTATTCCACTATCAGACTTGTAAGCCATATTCATAACATCTCTAACAATTTGTAAATATTCTAATTCTCTACAACTTAGAAAAAATAAAAAACAGTCTGGGATAATTTAATTAAATGGGCTAAGCTAATTTATTAAATGTTTTAAATTTCAAGAATAAGGTATACTATAAAATAATGAATAAATGACTACTAAAATATAATTGCCTGATAATGAAGTTGTTATTATTCTGCAGTAAGTCAACCACACAGAACACATAACAAGTATTGTTAAGACTTCATGCCAGAACCAAATGGTAGGAACACACAGAACAGTATATCTAATGAAGCTTTGCTTTGAAACTACCCCTTTGGTGGTTGTCACTTCTGGGCATGGATGTAGTAATTCTGAATTGGAAATACATTAATTCTTACTTTAACAAGCAGAAAGCTTCTTTTTTCATCAGCTCTCTGAATTAGTGGGGTAAGAACCTTAGAACAGTCATAATGAAAAGAGACTGGGCAGGTTTTCTCTGCTCCAATGAGAAAATGAAGGGTTACTGGGGCAAAGTGGCCTGGGGTCTAGGCATCTAGACAGTTTATCAGGAATAGTACCACAGGTTATGGGAAAGCTTAAAATCAATACATGAATTCCCTAAGGAAATCTATGCTGGGTCTCCTGGGACATGGACTGTCACTTAGAAGCACACATCAGTGACTAAATCAATAATAATGACAACTCCTATCCCCATTACACTACTGGGACAGTAAATTACAGTTTTGCTTTGATTCACTTCAGCAGCAGTACCCATCACTAGTGTCACAGACACAGTGTCCCCATTCTGGATCAGGTAAAATTTGGTGCTGGAAACAAAGGTTAACATGAATTCTCCCTCATCCTGGGTCATGACATGTGATACACTGACTCATTTTCCTCTTCGAGGAGTTCTAAGTCAAGGAGAACAACACAAATGCCACAGGGAAACAAATAAAATGTCTAGGAAAATGCCTCTATGGTGACACTGCCAAAATTTGGGCCTTGGCTTTATCACTTACTAGCTGGGTAACATTAGTTATTTAAGTTATGCAGTCTCCCTTTGCCTACAGTTGGGATAACAATGGTTTCACCATGTGAGGTTATTAGATTATAAAGATTAAGTGGGAAATATATATGGAGAGAATGAAATCAACCCCTTTACTATCCACACTTTTGTGTCTACAACAGAACATCATTAGGTATTTCTAAAGGCTGCTGTCAATCATTCTTGATGCCCAATTTGGTCTTACTGTCTCCAGATTAAGAAGCCTAATTGCTTAAATGTCCAATTCTTCATAGCATTCATTTGAAAATAAGTTCATTTCCTTGATAGTGCCTTCAAAACACCCAGTGTAAGCCTAAAACTTATAATAAGCCTCTTCTGACTCACTCCTACACTGACATTCCCAGATATGTGATTCTTCTTGCTGCATTAAGCTAATTAAACTTAACTTCCTAAGAGTTCATTGTCCTCCTAGTTATCATTGACTAATGGACAGACAGGTACAATACTGAGCACACATTATTGTACACTACAGGCATGCAAAATACTAGATATTGGTGATGGTGGAGAATTTTCCTTATTATCACCTACAGTATATGTCAAGACTAAATGAAAGTGCCCATTTAAGTATCTGTAAAGCCAAGCAGCTAGGATGAAGTGATGCACTCCTTTATCTAAGGAGCAACATATTACTGAGATATGGGCAGGGTACCCACAACAGTGCTTAGTGGGATGTAAGAACAAGTAAAGATTTTGAGCCTACAAGTCCAAGCAATAGCCAGGTCCTTCCCTGAACCATACCCAGATCTTTAACAAAAGGCAAAAGAAGAGAGAGAGGGTGGGAGGGAGGGAAAGGGGAAGGGAGGGAGGGAGGGAGGAAGGGAGGGAAGGAGGGGAGGAGAGATAGGAAGAGGAGGAGAGATAGGAAGGGGAGGAGAGGAGGAGGAGGAGGAGAGAGAGAGAGAGAGAGAGAGAGAGAGAGAGAGAGAGAGAGAGAGAGAGAGAGAGAGAGAGAGAGAGAGAAGTTGAGAAGGCCAAACTGATATTTCTGCCTTTCCAAAAACACTCATCTGACCGGAAAAAGGTCTTTTGAAGTAGGGAAATGAGTCTTTAGGGAATACTTGGTGGGACAGACACAACAGTAGCTGCATCACAATGACTCTGAAACTTTGTGATAATACCATTTTCTGCATCAATCGCACCTGATCTCAAATCCATCCGCTAACTGCCTCTCTGGATGATTCAAGCTCAAGATCTTTCACGAGTTGAAGAACTGCCTAGTACTATTTATGCCCAGCCCTGAAAGTTGTATGCCATTCTATTGGTTTTGTTCCCATTCTATTGTTAACATACTCCAGCCTTATTTCAGTGTTAACTCTATCCATCTGTTTTTGGCATGAACATGAATTTTAAGTCTGTGTTCCCTCGTTTATAATATGAAAATAACTTCTCTTCAAGGCTGTTCTTAGTATTAACCAATATAAAATTGCCAAAGTGTTGCTTAGCAAGATGAGTTATCCCACAGTGGCAATTTTTGGAGGTGACTTCTCTTTCCTTACTTCCTAAGAAAGTTTGAGCCTTTTTTTGCCTTGTTCTTCTAAAGTTTAAAGTCCAAATACTCTCTTTCCCACCTCTAAAGAGGAGTCAGTCAGGGCATCCATTGGCAAAGTTGGGCCATTTGGCGACGGCACCATAGTTAAGAGGATTGAGTCTATGCCCGGAACGCATTGAGAAACGGACCGGAAGTGGCTCGGCTGTTCTCTTCCTCCGCGGAGGGCCTTGGCGATCCGGCGGTGTGACTGCTGTCCCGTGGCTGTTTTGAACGCGTGGTGCTTGCGTCGGAGACTCGCTGAAAGCTCGGCAGCGGCGCGCGGCAGGTGTCGCGAGCCGAGCCCTAGGTGGCCACTCCATGCCGGGTTGGAGGCTGCTGGCGCAGGCTGGCGCCAAGGTGCTGGGCTGTGGCGCCACAGGCCTAAGTGCTGCCCCGGGCTTAGGGAGTAGGTGGGTACGGGCAAGAAAGAGGGTGCAGGGGTGCGCTGCCCACACCACTGTGTCCTTGGACAGGGGCTTGTCCCTGTGCAGAAGGTTTGTTAGAAGCGGAAGGGAGAAGCGGAAGGGGTCATGTGTCCCGGGCTGTGACACAGATTAAGAAAGCATCTTTTAATCTAAAGGCTCGAAGGGGGTGTTTTAATGTTTAAGACATTAGTTGCTAGCTGCAAGTATTCGCAGCAGCAGTGATTATCTTCCAGGCAGCGTGAACTGTACTAGGCGTGTTTGTGTTAAGTGTCACTAGGCGTGTGTCCTCCAGCCAGCCTTGTGAGCAGACCACTGTATAACTTGAGTTTCAGAAAAAACCGAAACTAAAGGGAAATGGGTTGTCCAGAGTCACTCAGCTAAAAAGCAGAAATCATTCTTGATTCTAAACTGAAACTTCCTGACTACCAACCAAAGTAGACCGAACAAAGGTTTGTTTAGGTCCTGGCCCACTCCGTGCAAGAATTACACACACTTTATTCCTTGCCTCAGACCTGCTGAGATCTTTCTTGGTGCTTGATCAGCTGGTCAGAGTTCGTGCTTTTTGTGGGTTTTAGGTTTTTTGGGTTTTTTCCCCCCTGTGTATTTGGTGTTTTAGTCATGACAGGGAGGAGGTATACTTAGAGAAAATTCAGCTTGCTAAATGCTGCCATCTTCTCTAGATGTAAACTGTGAAATACAGATTCATCTGAGTTGCTAGCCCCTGTGTGTTTGCGTAAGATTGTTCATCATGGAGGAAAGCCTTCAGGTTGACCTTCATTACAGTGGAAACTTCAGGGTTATCATAAGAAATATTAGTGAAAATACACAATCCACACCATTCCCTGAGGCTTTTAGTACATTGTCTAACACTGTGGAAATTAAAAGGAAATAATGATTTGATTTTGTTGTTTTCAGAACAAACATCTGGCTTTTTGTTAGAAATCTCCACAGCAAGAGTAGTACTTGGTGGGATGAGCATCTTTCTGAAGAAAATGCCTCGTTTGTTAAGCAACTGGTCCTTGATGAAAATAAAGCCCAATTATCAAGTAAACTGAATCCCCTGAAAGATGAACCGTGGCCTTTACATCCTTGGGAACCAGGTGATTTGGCGGGAGCGGAGACATGACCTCTTAATTACAGTATGGCTGGGTGCATGAAAATGGTGACTGCCTTATAAGTTTGCCTGCTTATTTCCAAATTTCTCATCTGCTAGTAAAAGACCTCCTCAGGAAGGGCGGTGGTGGCACACGCCTTTAATCCCAGTGCTTGGGAGGCAGAGGCAGGTGGAGCTCTGTGAGTTCAAGGCCAGCCTCCAAAACTACATAGAGGAAGCTGTTTCAAAAAACAAACAAAAAAAGGATGGTATTTTTGTAGGTGAGAGGAAAATCATTCTGGATACATGAGCTTCCTCCCTTCAGATGAATGTAAAATGAAAGGGAAAAGCCAGGAAGAAGAGGCTGGAAAAATTCAGTGTAAAATGTCCTTTGTTAACACAGTTGTTTTCTGCTGTGTACTGGTTTGGGCAAGCATAGTTCTGCAACCAGTAAACTGCAGTTTCTGTTGAACATGTGGTCTCTGAAGTTATTGAAATACTTAAATTGTTTAGTAACTAAAGTTCAAGTATGGCCTGGCTTGAGCTCTCACTGTAGTCAAGAGTAGCCTTGAACTCCTGATTTTCCAGCCTCTACCCCCTGAATACTTGGTTACAGGCATATACTCTCAGACCTGGCATATGTAATTCATGAGATCAAACTCAGGGCCTTATCCATCCTAGGTAAGCACTCTGCCAACTGAGTTACATTCCCAGCTCCAGCGTAGAGTACATTTCAGTAGGACAAGCTGTGGCATCTGCATAGTATAATACCATCCAATACTTTGGAATTTGAGTGGATGTTTTCTAATTGATCATGCTGAACAGGATCTGAACTAGGAAAGAGTAATGATGGATTTGTAATACTGTTGAAACTGAATGTTAGAATTATTTTACATTTGCTCATTTTGTAAACATTTATTAAACACCATTATATTGTGCCTGGCATAGTTGAAGATACTTAACATCCGTAAATAGTCCTAAATATATCGTATTTATTGCCAGGTTCTTCCAGAGTCGGCCTTATTGCCCTCAAGCTGGGCATGATGCCTTTATGGACCAAGGATGGTCAAAAGCATGTAGTCACATTACTTCAGGTAAGAAAACATAGAACGTGTAAGAACATCTGTGTGTGTGTGTGTGTGTGTGTGTGTGTGTGTGTGTGTGTGTGTGTGTGTGAAGTTCTGTATACATAACTATAATGGTTGAAATGTGTATTCCAGACAGAAAACTGTGTGGTAAAGGAAAATGTGGCAGATAAAAGTAAAGAAGTTTGCTTCAGAGGGTTCTGGGAAAGTGAAGCCTGGCGTAAGCCAGTCTTCCTATAGTGGGATTGGGAGACCTGAAGCAGTGCCCTGGTGGGGAGGGGTAACATAGATCCTCACTCATCTGCCTCTTAATTCAAAGCCCATCAGTGTAACATAGTTCTTTCAGTCCCTGATTATAACTGTGATCTCAGTGCTGACTGTTCGAGTGGATAATGAGTTAAGTAACTCTGAGATCCTACTTGTCCTAGGCCCTCATTATGGCTGGTGGATCACATTACAAGCTTAGGTTTTGTGGTTTTTTGTTTGTTGTTTGTCTTTTCAGGTACAAGACTGCCATGTGTTAAAATATACTCCCAAGGAAAACTATAATGGAAAAACAGCAGCCCTCACTGTGGGTGGGAAAACCGTGTCACGCTTCTATGTAAGCATACATTTCCATTCCTCAAATAGTACATTTTATTAGTTTCAACTCCACATGCTTCCTAGTTTGAAGAATGTCCTGTAGTCATAAACTGTGACTTCCCTGAGGTCTTTGTCTGGGGAGAGGCAGGCTAGCAGAGGTATCTGGACTCTCGAGAGAATCTGGGTTTGTTCTCATGCCTCCTCCTCCATCTGCAAGTCTATTAGCTCTCATTGTAATGTAGTGTCTGTAGGTCCGTAAGGAGACTGAAGGTACCACCCACCTCATGGGCTTGTCACGAGGACTAAATGAGGTTCCCTAATGTGCCTGGTCTGTCATAGGTACTCAGTAGATCTTGACTTCCTTCGTTTGATTTGGCCTTTTAATTTGAAACAGGGTCTTTATGTAGAGAAAAACATATAGTGTATGTTTTACTCTTTTTCCTTCTATGGAAAATCAATCCAATACTTAAAACAAAAAGTCCATTAAAAGTATTATGTATTTTAGAAGGAACCTTCAGTATTTTGGGGTGCATATGAACCCACATTATTTTTTTTAACAAAGCATTGTTTCTTAAGTAGAGTGTTAACAGAATTCTGAATGTGTAGCTTTTTAGAAAAATGCACTCAATAATACCCTCTGCCAGACTAAACCCTAGAAATCTTGATGGGTGTCATCAGTAAGTGACTAGAACACAACACTTATCTCCAAACAAATTATTTTTTCATTTTTTAAGGAATAAACATGGACAAAATCAGGATGTAATCATACTATCTGTCACAAGTAGCAGATATTTCATTGGGGTTATTTAGAGGCATATGAGTAAAGAGTTGCATACAGGAACACAGACAGCCCAATCCAACCTAGGCTGGGTAACAGCTCATAAAGTCTACAAGCCTGGAGCTCCCTCCATAAGGTGTGGACAGCTCCAGGCTGAAAAAATCTCCTGCAAGCTGCTGGGCTGACCAGTGCTGCCCCAGGCAGTTGTCTGCTGCTTCTATGGCCTTCAGGAAGGCTTTGTGAATCCTCAGGAATACAATTTGGCTTTGAGGAAATTGTGAGGTTTGTTTACTCCTGAGTCTCATGAGTGCCCCGCCCCTTCCTGGAAGGAATGTGTCATTCAGAGGAAATTGCTACACAGCTTGTATGTGCTTGTCACAGTTAATGTCTTTGGAGTGCTTACTATATATAACAGTAACATGGCTTAAAGGCTTTAATTCATTACCGTGAGTAATCATGTTAGCCTCCGGGATACAGGAGTGAAGTCACTGGTCAGGAACTGATTGACCACTGGTAAAAGCAGAGCTGATGAGGGTTCTGGCAGAAAGTTTACAGCAGGCAGGTAGGGCTTGGCTAAAGCTGAGGGAGAACAAATCAGTTCATACACATATTCTTCTCAGGACTCTTTATTCCTCAAAAAGAGTTCTTCCCTAAAGTTGTTTAAAAGTTTCTCTCTAAAAGTTCTCTCTCAAAAAGCTCTCTTTAAGATTTCTCCTCAAGTTCTCTAAAAATTTTCCCTCTAAAAGCTCTCTTAAAATTCTCTTTAGGCCAGGCAGTGGTGGCACACGCCTTTAATCCCAGCACTCGGGAGGTAGAGGCTGGCGTATCTCTGTGAGTTCGACACCGGGCTGGACTGATAGCCTCCAAAACAATACAGAGAAACCCTGTCTTGTAAAAACAAAAAACAAACAAAAAAAAATTCTCTTCAGAAGTTCTTAAAAATTCTCCTAGATCCCACAAGGTTTCAGTTTATATACCCACAGATACAATTAGCAATTCTGGCGATAGCAAGGATACCAGGCATGCATCTCTCTCGGAGCCAGGAAGGCAGATAGGGTCTTGACGAAAGCGAGGACACATGACTTGTAAAACATCCGGGCACACTGAAGTCTCAGAGGGGATGTGCCTTGTAAAACATGTGGGCAAACTTGAGAGGTGAGGAAGGGTGAAATGGAGTAAGTGGCTAATGAGACCCGGAGGCTGCAGCTCTTATTCCTGGCACTCCACTGAGAAGAAATTCCTTTCTGTGGGGTCTTTTGAGACTATAAAACACCCAGTATATATTCTGTAGATCAAGATTATGCAAACTCATAGCAACAGATATTCTGGAGGTTGTATTTCTTGCAGACTTTGCAAGGCAAGTTTTCTCCATCAGAAGTTAATTGCTACTTCTGTAATAAATGATAAAGGCTCTCAGCACAGGGCAGACTCACAGCCTCTCATACTTACATGTTTGATATTAAGCCCCTGGGACCCCTCAAGCTGGTAAGGTGGATGAATGAGATAGCCTTCCCATAAGTCAGCATAAATCAAGCAGCCACAGAATTGGAGATAGCCAGTCCCCCTTGCAGAGGGCCAAGGCATTTCATAGGGAGAAAACAAAAGAGAACAATGGGTATTAAAGAATGCTTGTGGAAGCCATTTCATATATATTTATTTTCACTATCAATTTTATAAATCCATGACCTTATGTTCTTGATATCTATAAATTAAGCATCATATTGGGACAGTTTATTCTGCTCCAAAAGATATATGAATGGTGGTTCCTCAGACATAGCAGATAACAGGACTGGAGAGATGGCTCAGTGGTTAAGAACACTAGCTGCTCTTGCAGAGGACCTAGATTCAGTTCCCAGCACTACATGGCAATTGACAACCATCTGTGACTCCAATTGCATGACATCTGATGTAATGCTCTGTTCTGTCCTATGTAGGCACTAGGCATGCATGTGGTACACATACATACATGTAGGCAAAACACTCATACATATATAAAAATGAATCAACTTTTTAAAATAAATAGAAGGTGATGGGAAACACAGGGGTGTAGGGTGCTCCCATTAGTTCCTCTTCCGGTACCTTCTTACATCCTCACTCCCTATCCCCCCACCCCAGCATGCTCATAAAAGTAGGATTTGGAGAGATCTCTGAATTCTGTTCCTATTCTGAAATTCACATTATTCTCTGAATCTTTTAGTTCTCAAAGAGAATTTAATATATTCTCTTTTACTTAATAATAAATACTACCAGTATTTGCAAAGAAGCATAGTATTTACTAGTAAGTTTTTTCAAAAACGATAGCACTCCACTTTTACACTCAAGGCTGCTGTCCTCCCTCCCCTCTCTATAATCCTTATGCCATTTAGCTGCAGCACAGAGGGGATTTGGACATTCGAGTGTTTTTCCTTACATTGTGGTAAATGCTGGCCACACCACTACGTGAACAAGCTGTTCACTTCTCAAGCATCTGTTAGAGGAAGAGAAGGGGGATAAGATGGGGACAAAGGGTAAGAGGTCAGTGAGGAGGGAGAAGATCAAAATATGTGCTGTGCATATATGGAACTGTCACATTGAAACCCATTACCCTGTGTCACTAATCTGTACTAATAAGAAAAGGGAAAAGTTGCTTTGCCAGTGTGGGAACCTCTCAACATTTATACGTGATTTTGTTTAAAAAGAAGAGATTTTCCAAACTAAAAATGTCCTGGCTATTTACATGTTATAGCCCTCAGGGAAGCTGCAAATAGACTGACTATATAGAGAAGTCTTGTTTTTGTCTTGGTTTGCTTGTTTTTTACAAGACTATGAATAGAAAATATTGAATAGTTTGGCCATCAAAATAAGTTGATTAAATGGTTTTATTTATAATAGACCTTTTTTTAATCTACAAAGTTACACCTGTAAGAAACTAGACTAGTGTTTGTTTTTTTTCTTTTTTCTTTTTTTCTTTTTTCTCGAGACAGGGTTTCTCTGTATTGTTTTGGAGCCTGTCCTGGAACTCGCTCGGTAGACCAAGCTGTATCTTATAAATAAAAATTGATGTGGCACATATTGTTTCTTGTAAGAACATTAAGTGGCCTTACAAGTTGATTAAATCAATTCATCTTGGGAGCAGAACGGTGCTTTCACTGTAAGAAAGATAATTGCTGAGAAATTCTGCAGAGGGAAGACCACTTCTGGATGGGTTACCCACGTGTGACGGTGCTGTCAGTCTCCAAATTGCCCGTTTGAATCATTTACTTGGAAGTTTAGAGGAGAAGGGGCAGGGCCAGCCTCACTGTTAAAATGCTCTGGCTTCAGCTTAATTTGAACATTTGTTTTTTTCATGACTAAGACCTAGTTTTCTTTTCTTTAAAAAAAAATCTACTTATTTTTATTTTATATTGATTCTTTGGGAACCCTCCCACCCCACCCCCACCCTGCAGCATTCCTCCCAGGAAAGCCAAAAAAGAATTAAAAATAAGATAAAAATAAACAATAAGGAAAAAAAGAAAAAACAATTCTCTCCTTCATCCTCAGACCTAGGATGTAATTTTAGCTGACACAATTATTCAATTCTAGTGGAACTGAAGAGTAATTAAGATGTATATGTTATCTTAGTCCTTTTTATGCTTGAGTCTAGTGTTAATGTAGACTGTGATGTTCATTTTATCATTTTGTACCAATAGTAAGAGATTTTTCTTGGTACACTCTAAATTCAATATTAATAAAATAATGTTATGCTTTATAAATCAACTGAACTATGTGAATGTCGGAAACAAATTTGAAACCTTTTAAATGAAATACATCTGAATTTGGAGCACCAGGAAAATAATTTCAAGGAAGCCGACTTGTAAGGAGAGCTTCAGTGTTTGCTCTTGTGGAAGTGAGTGTAAGTGAAGGTGAGAGAGGGGGCTTTAGTATTTTCCACAAGAGAGAAGGAAAGAACAGAGAATGAAGACACAATCTGTCTTTTGGAGGGAGCGATAGCTTCTCAAGAGAACAGTGTTCATGTACAGACCATTAGAACAGCAGTGTCCTCCGTGTTCACGTACAGACCATTAGAACAGCAGTGTCCTCCGTGTTCATGTACAGACCATTAGAACAGCAGTGTCCTCCGTGTTCACGTACAGACCATTAGAACAGCAGTGTCCTCCGTGTTCATGTACAGACCATTAGAACAGCAGTGTTGTTAGTGTTCACGTACAGACCATTAGAACAGCAGTGTTGTTAGTGTTCACGTACAGACCATTAGAACAGCAGTGTTGTTAGTGTTCACGTACAGACCATTAGAACAGCAGTGTTGTTAGTGTTCACGTACAGACCATTAGAACAGCAGATTCCTCCGTGTTCAGGATAGAGTCCACTGAGCTGCAGGTATAGATTATTAAGCAATTAAAAAAAAAAAAAAGAAGTGTATCATGATGGGCTTGGATTAATGGTCTAAGAAATAAGAAAAATAATAGGCTGAGGAGTTGGCAGGTGACAACAAGTGGTTCTATTTTAGATATTAATTCAGGAGGCTTGAGTAATTAAGAGGGCAAGTCATCCAAAACTTTTTGGAAAGGCCCCCAGTATAGACCAAGGCCCCGAGACTAGTGCCAGATGTGCTTTCAGACCAGCAAGGGCGTAGATTCTATCTGCCTGGCTGGATCATAAGCAGTAAGGCTATTTGTTCTTAGATGCATAATAGGTTATAGCTGTAATCTCATCTCCCTTAAAGAGTGGGAATTAGATGCTGTTGGTTCAGTAGGGAAATAGAGTGTGCTTTGATTTTATTGTTGTGGGTTTTTAGAACTTCATTTGGGTCTCTACATTCAGGTCCACTTGTACTGATTAATGTGTTACTTATATATGCTGCTTTTCCCTCTAGAAATCTGATTCTATATTGGAATTTTACCGAGAACTTGGATTGCCACCAAAACAGACAATTAAAATCTTTCATGTGACAGATAATGCTGTAATTAAGCCAGGTAATCTGAGGTCGGGAGAGGAGGGAGGTAAAAATACCCAAATATGTGATTTGTTTAATGTCAACCCTTTCAATAAAGCTAAACAAAATACAATGTCCCAAACACTTATTTTTAAATATAAAACCTATCTGATTTAATCACTAGGAACAAACAAGTCTTTGTCGGTGGTAAGTAGGGAAAGCTGCAGGATGCTCTTTGTTTTCCCTGAGAGGGAGGAGCTCTTGTTTGCAAATGTGGAGTGTCACATTTTTTAAAAAGCCTCTCCATGTAAGTGTTCCAGCTTTAAAATGTGTTCATGATGTGCAGGCTAGGACTCTGCTAGAAATAGTACACTCCCCTGGAGAGTGAGAAAATACAGCCGCCAAAGGAGATTAGCCAAAATAGCCCCTGGGGTAAAGATTTATCCTATCTATGGCATGTCAAATTAAGGTTTGACATGTGATTATACTAATTCATGTGGTTACTAAAGCCTGACATTAAATTATAAAAGTTATGGTAAGACTTGTATTATTTATTGCCTTTTGGTCTAATTTACAATGGACATATATTCCACTTTAAATATTAAGGATTTGTTCTGAAGCAAATTTAAGTATCCACTTTGATATTAGCCTATCTAATTTGTCTCTAAGCCTTCTGTATAAAAGTCATATCCACATTAATTTTTGTTGTAGTGCAAACCATATTAAATTACGTTTTTGTGAGTCAGTGATGGTCAAATAGCAGTTTGAGTTATTCAGCCTGACAAAATGAGATCCCTTGTAATCCTTTTAATTTTTCTTTTTTAGATTAATATTTTTGATTAACAAATCATTTGTATTCGATTATAGAGTATCATGTGATGATATGGCATGCATAGAATGAAGTTCCTTTTTAAGGCTTTTGCTTTTCCGTTAATAAACCTAGATTAATCTTAATTTAAAGAAACTACCCTCTTAAGTGCACTTCTAATATAGAATTAGGAGTATCTATAAGGGCAGGTTGTGTCTAATCCAAAGGCCTAGACCTTTTTATCCGCATGTGCCTAGAACAGAAATAATCTGGCATGACAGATGCTTTATGAATATCCCACTGAGGAGAGGCTGAGTCCTGGAAGTACATTTGCTAGTCCCGGAAGTACATTTGCTAGTCCTGGATGACGAAAGATGGCATCAAAATCCGGTGTGGTTAGTTCTTCCCTGGTTTCTTCTTTCCCCTTATGTGAAATGGATAATATATTTTGATTCCGCATGTGTAGTCACTGAAACAGCTGATAATCATTAAATTTGTTTGCCAGAAGGAGCTATGGATTCCCACAGGACTCACTCATTTTGACCTGTACCATATAAGCCCCATGAAGGTGCTGGCTAGTCAGTCAGTCAGTTAGGTGTGGTCTGGTGGCTCACTCTAGCACGAGCAGCTTGAAAAGGACCCCATCGTTCTTCAGCCTTCTCATTGATAACTAGAATGTGTTTGCGGATGGCTCCATTGTTTGGGTAGTTCCAACGTTCCTAATTGCCAAAGATGTACAAGCATTTGAAAACACAGCTGGGAGCTATGTGGGGGAAAGTCTGTGAATAAAGTCAATTGTATGCTGACAGATAACATGGATTTCTCATTTTCTTTTTAAAGGGACCCCGCTTTATGCTGCTCACTTTCGCCCTGGACAGTATGTGGATGTCACAGCCAAAACGTAGGTCTCCAGCTCTTCTCCTTTGCTTTGCTTTTCTTCATGTGCTAAAGAGCAGAGTGGGTGACGGTACAGTCATTTGAGTCAGTAAATAAAAACAAATGCTCTCATATTGCTATCCTTATACTCACAGCCTGTTAGTTTTAAAGTTGTACTGGATTAGTTTCATACAAAGGGTTTACATCAGATGAACTGAAATGTGTGCTTTCAGAAATGGGGCTCAATGGAAGGTCATGTGAATTAAGTGCTTTCCCAGTTAGGTCTGTTTTGAAGACCAAGGCAGTACACACTTTTATTGTGAAACACACCAGAGCAATGCTGATGACCTCTCTTATGACCACGGTGTCAGTTAATTGAGGCTTCTCTTTCCAGTTATTGGGAGTGATAAGATTTTATACTGTTTGTGAAAGTAGTTGTTGTATTTAAGTGTCTCATTGTAACTGGGAAACATGTTTGCAATTGTTTGATGAGAAACTAGAAGAAAGTTCACACTTGTTGGGAGCACAAGGCTTGACTCTTAGTGTTAGGTGGTGAGATTGCTGTGTGGCTGCCACTCTAACAGAAGTTCTGCCTTTGATTCATTTAGTCTGGGCTACTGTTTCTGATTCTTTAACCATTTCTGCCCATGGTGTAGTGTCTATGATTCTAGGAACTCTGAGTCTTAGAAAAGTTACTGCTGTAGAGTGCCCAAGTCCATGTTGATGTTTGCAAACTGGTTCCTGCTGGCTGTGAGAACTTGACCTAGAACAGCCCAGATTTCAGGGACACCAGTTATCAATTCTTGTTTTCTCATCATGGATTCTGACTTCAGACCTTTGTGTGTGTGTGTACTCTTCTTAGTCACATGACTGTGCCTACAAGGATAATCTCACCAAGAGCCCTTTGACAGATAAATGTGTCCTAGACTCTGGGAGATTACAGTTTGTTTGCATTTATTTTTGTGATAGTGATGACCAAACAGCAGCTTTTATCCAAAGGTACCTGGTGAGTGTTGACCTTAGTGGCTTTAAAGCAAAATCTGATGATCACTGGACTTAGTTTCCTTAACCGGATAAATTCATTCCCACACCATGGCCATCTCATGTCAAACATAGGCCGCTTCAGAAGCTGCTAGATGCTGTTTTTTGTCCAACTTTGTAGAAATGGCATGGGTAGACCGGCAGTAAGAAGAATCTTTTAGCTTCTGAACCTGTCCCTTTTGTTTTCCCCTAGTCACTAAAGCCAGTAAGATCACTGACTTGTCTCTTGGTGACTACTATCCAGTGAGATCACTGGCTTGTCTCTTGGTGACTACTATCCAGTGAGATCACTGACTTGTCTCTTGGTGACTACTATCCAGCTTCCCTAACCTTTGGTTTGCTTAGGCAGTGAAGACTCTGGCTTAAAAAGCAGATATTTTACTTTCAAGCTTATGAATGATTATAAGTCATAAGATACCATGCACTTCTGTGAACTTACATAAGTGCTGTGTGAACTCCATTCCATAACTGGCAGGACATACAGGACAGCCTGAGAAGACATGCAGAGTTACATGCCTTCGTCAGCAGCTGTCCTGTGGCCAGACTTGTGACGAGCTTGGTGTGTAGCTTAGCTTTTCAAATGCTTGTGCTCAGTGGAATTTTTCAGCTCAAATGCTGCTGTTGAGTGTCTTTGGATTTTCTTTTTTTTTTCTTTTTGGTAACTCCGGTCTTCTGGTATATTGAGTAAAGGTGGGAGAATGTTTCTTTTGTAAGGTCCTATTTCTAGAAAACAAGGTGATTTGAAATTATATGACGGGGTCAAGACTAGATAGCAAGTAAGTGCTGGAAGAACAGCTAGCCTTGGGATTAAAGCAGTGATGGTCAGCTCCGGAAGAAAGGCGGACGCCCTTGCTGCCGCGTGGCTGCAGCTCAGTGTTCATTCCATTTCTGTGTGGGAAGTGGGCCACCCCATGGAAGCAACCTCATTCTGCTCTGTGTATCTTCACATAGACTGTCTTACCTGAGGTCACCTTGTGTTAAGTATTTCCAGGGACTGGAGCCCTTCTTGCCAACATGTTACTTCGTTCCTCTGGTGCTTTTAAATGCTTTAAGCTGATTGGCTGCTCACATGCGACTTGATAGAACTTTTTGAGTGCAGTGGTTGGCTCCTTAGCTGGGTGACTCATCGTCACTGCTGCCTGCCCCTTACCTGTGACTAATGTGAGGGCAGACTTTTCTACTCTCCAGTCTGTTTGGAATAACTTGACTTACTAGCTGTTGAGAGCAGTAAGTTCACAAACATTAGTGAAACAGTGAGTAACAGACTATAAAGAGATAATCTCTCAGAAATAACCCCAAGTCAAGGTGCATATTTGAGATGAAGGCTAGAGTTTGGGAGGAACTGTTTCAGGGTTGTCTCGAGTAGTTGTTTGAGTGTATTTTAGTGTTAGCTATATATCTAATCACTTTCCTAACGTAAACCCACCAAGCAGCAAAAACCAAGGTCAGCAAGATAGTAAGTAGCAGGTGAACAAGGTCATAGCCTCAGTAGCTCTGTGACAGAGGCCGGTTCCTTTATCTCTTACTGCTTCATTTCAACATGAGTGCTTCCAGCACAGTGGTTTTCAACTTACCTAATGCTGCAACCCTTTAATACAGTTCCTCGTGTTGTGGTGACTCCCAACCATAAAGTTATTTTTGTTGCAACTTCATAACTGTAATTTTGCTACTGTTATGAATCGTAATGTAAATATCTGTGTTTCCTGATGGTCTGTCTTAGGCTGCCCCTGAGAAAGGGCCATTTAATCCCCAGGGGTTACGACCCGCAGGTTGAGAACCACTGTTGTAGCATTTGGCTCAAGCCTGGTACTGAGCACTACCTGCTCAGGAGCATTGGCTGAATCACCATGCTGTCACTGCTCTTTGTTTAGGTTAAAGAAAAGCTCCGCCCCAGTAAGAAGGACTGGAAAAGTGAATGGAAAGCACAAAATCACTAAAGCGTTCAATTCTGACATCATCTAATACACCGGACATCTTTCAACACAATAGCTCTAAAACAGAGACATAGTCAGAATTTCTATGCCCCCAATAAAACTTTATTTACAAAACCAGGTGGTCATTGCCAGCTAGCATATGCCAAGCTGTGACTTAAACCATAGCGAGAAGAGAATCAGAAGCAGGATGCTCAGACTGCCTTTTCATGAGGCATTAGGGAGAAAGGACATCTCAAAGATTAAGGAAACCACAAAGTGAACATGGATGGCAGCAGGGTGGGGAGGCACCAGAGAAGGGCAGAGGACAGCCCTGTGAGGAGAGAGCATAGGCTTCTGAACACTGACGGCATGTGTGATATTAAGGAGATGTTCACTCTTGAGATTGCGGTAATAATGTTGTGGTTTTGTAGTTTAAAAGTATCCTTAGCTGTCCATGCTGCAATACTTGTGATCCAGTGACGAGACTGCTGCAATTGCAGAGCAAGAGAAACAGATGAAACTTGGCAGCCTGGAGTCAGTGATTGTCAGTGAGTGATGGATGTCTCAGATTCCGTTATAGTCTGTTCTTCAGTAGGTGCAACAATTTCATAATAAAAATTATTTTACAAAACAACTTTTGTGGTTTTTGGATTAGATTAATCTCAGAGTGATTTCCAGAAACCAATTGAAGAGGAAAATAGATTGCAGAGAGCTGAATGGTAAATTTGAGGAGAAAAGAGAAGAAAGAAAAGGATATATCACAGAAGCCAGTGGCAAGGAACAGACTTGGGGGTGGGACTGTGGAGGGTCCTTAGAAAACAGAATATCAGGATAGATGCATAAGTCTCTCCTCACCTCAGATGTGCTTGTCTCAGGTTTCAGTATTAGAAACATGCAGAGAAATGCCTGGTGGGTTGGTTTTAAAACTGTTTGTTGTCAGGATTTGGGTATTTGCCATGATATGGCCAGGGGATGAAATTCCCGCAGTATTGACCTCTAGAGATATTAGGATGAGTTGGGAAACAGTAAATTATGCATTACCTTCTGAAAAGGCTTATGGTTACTCATATAGGCCTCTAAACCTTTTTTCTTTTTTTCTTCCCACAACAATAACAGTAGCAGTGATGGCTCACTCTAGGCTGGACATTGAGTTAAGTAAGATGTTATCTCTGACCTGTATGCAGCCCATATGGGGGTCATGGGCCAAAGAGTGAACTCCAGGCTGGCTGGGGCCGCAGTGAGAGACCCTGTCTTACACAAAGAAGCAGGCAAAGTCCCACGTTGGGTGGAGGGTGGGGGAGATGGCATCTTTTCATCTATGAATTTCTGTGAAGCTTTTTCTTCTGTGACTTACAAGAGTATTGTATTTGAAACACACCAGGGTGTGCTAAGTAAAGATTAGTTCATTCCTCACTTTTCTTTTACTTTTGTTCTCAAGTTGGGTAGCAATTGGGAGAAGCCAGAGACTTGCTACCTGTACCTCCCATGGATCAACAGGCGCACTCTATTCTCTGAACCCTGAGTTCAGCCAATAATTGTCGTGTCACTTGTGTTTTTGCCTTTTGTTTAAAGGTTATTTACTGAAGAGGTTCCCGTTGTACACAGTGGAACTCATGAAGTGTTCCAGACCAGACTGAAAAACAATCTGCAATTAGCTGACACATAATTAGCACTTTGAGGGTACCACTTTCATCTTGTAATCATTTACTCTAAAATGAGCTCAATTATCTTCTGTAATTTACCTGCTTGCATTTTACTGGTGCGTGCACTCAAGCTGTCTTTTTAAGGCAGATAATCAGTTAGAGAACTCTGGAGGCAGTAGTGAACATTTACAAAGGCAGCCGTGTGCCAATGTGGTATTTTTAAAGCATGTTCCTTCATGATGAGCATTGCTGGTCGCTCTCCCCTGCTGCTCTTAGGTGCTACTTGCTAAATGATAGAATACTTCCAAATTATTCTTCACTTCTCTTCATTTTTAAATTGCTAGGCTTTTATCCTACTTTACAAGTATGTCCTAAAATTCACTGTTAAGTGGAAATATTAATGTCTGAGGCATGATTTCAGTATTTGATTCTCATGGCTTCTGTTTGGTGGTCATCTCTATAAAATTATGCAGTAAGTTTCCCATTGAATGTATGTTACATTTCTATTTTAGCTTTTTGTTAAGACTACTTATTTTTGTAGTTACTGAGAGAGTAGTATATGCAGTCAGGAAGAGGTGTAAGCTACCTTTAATTTATTTCTAAAGAAGCCTTGATGTGTGATTTGAGATTGCATGCCTGTTGTCTCTATTTGTAACTTCCTATTGTGTTTTTCCTCTTCTTTTCTAATTGTTTTTATTTTAAGATTTTGATTTATCTAAAACTGTTATTCAAGAGGCTTTGGTCAATCTATCCTCTGATAATTCTTTGTTAATAAATATGTAGCAAAGTCCTTGTGAAAACAGTGTGGTTTTCATGCTGTTTTGTAATTGGTCTGAGCAATGCTTGTCTAATCATAACTAGTTTGTTGAAACTGCACATTATTACATTAAAATATATTACCACTGTCTGGTGAAAGGTGAAGGAATCTTCACCTTAAGAGTATGTAAATGATGTCTGTAGTAGACTTACAAATCTCTCAGAACTGCATAGTATCATTTGTAGGGTTGTATTTGATATTCAGAGGTAGACCTTAGTAACCTTGTTGGATTAGCTTGTTCCTTAGCCAACCAACTTTACAATAAAGAGTTTTCATTTAAAAATAGTATTTAAGTTATTAAGAAACTGTCACTCTCTACTTTTGCTTTTCCAATAGCTTCCTGTTCAACACTGTTTTAGAGCCATTTGGTGTCCTTTAAAATACTTGCTCAACAGCTAGAGCAGTGATTCTCAACCTGTGGGTCAGGACCCCTTTGGGATGGCATATGAGATATTTATTTACATTATGATTTGTGACAGTAGCTAGCAATGAAATAATTTTAGGGTTGGGGGTCCCCACAACATGAGGAACTGTATTAAAGGGTCACTTAGGAAGGTTGAGAACACTGTGCTAAAGGCTCACCCTTGTAAGTGGCAGAGCCAGTCTAGAGGTTTATATATTTATTCAGTGCTCCATTCTGTGCTGTCTGTTGCTTCCTGACTTGTCCTCATAGTTGCTTAAGTAAACCTCTAACTTGATCAAGTCTGTGGTTAGAAATTCAGCGTACCTTGCCTGGCTGTATGTGTCTCAGCGTCTCTCACAAGGCTACAGTCACATAGGGCCCTGACTAGAGAAAAATTGCCTCCAAGCCCAGTGGCATGATGTTGGCATCAGCTAGTGACTGTAACTGCCCTTGCTACATTCTGCTCCATAGCAGTGCTTATATAGTGCTAGGTGCTTCTGGCAGAACCTAGGAAGCTAGATGAGAGAGTACCAGAGGAGTCTCATGTAACCAGACCTCAGACTGACAGCTCATCTCTCAGCATAGTTTTTCCATTAGACTGAATCAGTCCCAGGATTAAGAGGATTAAGTATAGCATGAATACTGGAAGAATGGGGTCTGGGATCTATCCTAATGACTGCCTGCTGTGTCTGTTCAGAGATTGAAACTTCTCAAGCTCTGCTATCCTATCACGCGCTTATGAGGGCGAACCTTTCCTAGGTAAATTCCCCGTGCTTGGCTTGCTATTGTCTCATAGTCTTGACATAACATTTTATAAAGAGTTAAACTCCAGAGGGAGGTGCAAACCAAGACAGATGAAGGTACGTTCATTTACAGTTCAGCTGGGATGGCCTTTTCTGGTTATTTAGATAAGAAGTCTTGTTAGAACTCCTAGGTGCTGTCAAGAAAGTACAGTCAAAAATATCTTATACTCCACTCATTATGTAAATTCTAACTTTTTTTCCAGTATTGGTAAAGGTTTTCAGGGTGTCATGAAAAGATGGGGATTTAAAGGCCAACCGGCTTCTCATGGTCAAACGAAGACCCACAGGAGACCTGGAGCTATTTCAACTGGAGTGAGTATAAACAGTGATGCCCACGGAGGGAAGTGGGATTGGGCGGGGTCTCACTCTGTCTCCCAGGCTAGCCCAGGACTTGCTGTACTTGTCTTGCCTCAGCTTCTAGCGTTCTAAGAATGTAGGCATCAGGCAAGTGCTCAACCTCTGCACACAGTGCTCACTGTTTGTCATCTCAAGCCAGATGACTTTAGCCTGGCTTCGTTGGGTCTTGAAGCTATCACTCTTTCATAGGCTAGCCTCACCCACTTTTCTAGAGCATAAATACCCATGGGCAGCAGTCTCTGTTCCTCTCTGTCCTAGTGTCCTATCTAAAATACTGTGGCAACTGCAGGTAGCTAGCTCCATTTGCTGGGTCAGACACTTGTTTTGTGAGATTGTCAAGAATAGTATTATAGTTAGGGGGGTGCGTTGGAGAAATATGCAATAGTGGTATAAGAAATGAAGAAAAGACCCATTGTTTTGCTAATTCAGTGTTTCTTTCCCAGGGGTAGAGCAGAGAGTGCCTAGGGAGCTTTTGAATAAAACCTTTGGAGCCTTAATAAATGCAAAGTCTCTCTAATGGTTGGTAGTTGGCAACATATTCTATTTCTTTCACGATAAGAAACAGACTATAGTTTCCTTTGGTACTAAGTTCTCTATTACCATGAAGCTGAATTTTTGTCATACTCTCTACCAAGAGCTGAAGAGAAATCTGTTCACAATACTGCCAGGAAATAGGAATCAGAATCAGTGTTGGGAACACAATACAGGAGAACAGACAGAACCTTGGTAAAACTACACGTGCATGTCCATTGACACAGCTGAGCTTCTGGAATTTGCCCTGAGGGTGTTCTCCCCATGCCCTGGAACAAATCAGTCCTGTAGTGCTATTTGTAATTAGCAAGGATGGAGGCCCACACTGGAGTTGGGGTGGATAAGACTGCAGTATGTCTACACAGAGAAAACAGTGCTGCTCCAGAAACAAAATGAGTGAGACCTCTATAAAACAGTGGTAATTTGTTGTGTGCAGACTAAGATGTATGTGTGTTCTGTTTGTCCTTGCCAATAGAAGGCTCAGAAGATGAAATAGGATGTAGTGAGAGTACTTCCCCCAAATGATGGGTGCAAACAAGTTGGGAAGGCTTAGGAGTGGTGGATACTCTTTTATGCTATGTATTTTTTTTCTCCTGGAACCTTGCTAATGTTCTGCATATTCAAAATAAAAACTTTGAGGGGGTAAATACATGAACTATAATTAGAAAATGAGCTTCAGTGTCTTAGATGAGGAACAGCCAGAATGAAGGAGGAAAACTAACTCAGCAATTTAACATAGTTGCCTGGCAAGATACTGTGAGTCTAAAATTAAAAATGCATTCTTTCAGCTGGAGGTGGCTCAGCAGTTAAGAGTGATTGCTGAGCAACCAAGAGGCCTAGAGTTCGGATCCCAGCACCCAGATAATAAGCCAGGTATCTAGCCAGGTAACTCTAGCTCCAGGGGATCCAACACCACATGCATACAGGCATATCACCCACATACACGCATGCACATACACTCAGACACACACATACTCAGCTCACTATGCAATTGTTGAATTCTAGTTAGATTTTCTATTTGCACTGTGAGTTATAGGATTGAGCAGAAAAATAAATACACTGATGATGGGAGGCAAGGCAACTTTCTGTACTTAAGAAAGATGCTGCCCTGTGAAAGGGGAATTAGAACACGTCCTTAACTAGGTGATCAAGTATGCACTGTTTAGACAGACCAACATTATGATTACACCAGGGCCATGGATGTAGCCTAGTAGTTAAGTGCTTGACCTAGCATGAGTGAGGCTCTAAGTTCAGTTCCCAAGACCACTCCTGTAAAACCTGCCTGGAAATGCTCCCAGAGACATGCTCCGAAGTTTGTCACCAGTGATTCTAAATCCAGCCAGGTCAAAATGAGAATTAACCATAACATGTAGTGAAGTGTCCTGATGTGCTCATAAGTCACCTCCACTTGGGGGTTCCAGCTGCTCTGAGAGTGTGCCTGCCACACAAAACTGCTCACTAAGTTCAGTGAGTGGTCCCTCGCTTTATATTTGATTGCTTTAGGTGAAGGCTTAGTATCCATTCTCAGAACCAGCTGGAGCTAGACAAACACTGTTCTGTGATGCAGGTGATAGGAGTCAAGAAAGTAACTTCACAGGGAGGAAGAAGCCCAGTCAGGCCACAGGGGTGTAGGTGAAACCGGTTAAGCCAGTAACTAGGATTAGGTGAAGTCAGGAAAGCAGCCCACTGGTTTCCCTTGGCATAGTGATGTGGCATGTTTGTGTGGCCTTTGTTTCTTCTTAATGCTGTTCTTTTTAACTATCTATCAGTATTCGACCAGTTAGTACTGTTGCTAATGAGCTTGTCTCCTGTCTGCTTCTTAGACTGCATTTATTTCCTGTCTAGGAGTACTCACCACACTGACTGACGCGGTGAACCTGCGAGAGTGGGCCTAAATATGAGACAGACTAAGTCTCATGTAGTAGCCAGCTTTATTCAGAGCACTAGACAATTATACCCTGAGGGGTAAGGTGTTCAATACAAAGACAAGCTACCGCATCCCAAAAACGTGTGTTTCCACAGAGAGGCACATGAATGACAGACAGCAGCTGAAGTAAACTCACCCCTATCCGAGCACAAAAACACATTCCAAGAACAGTTCTGTCATCTGAAGAAACTGAGGTCTCAGACTCTTGTTTTCTTGGAGTTTTCTCACAAGCACTCAGAATTCTCACATGACTCCATTCTTTGACTATGTTCCAACCTAGGAGTAAATGTATATACATCATACTCAAGTTTGTTATTGATCTAGCTGAGTAAAGGATTTGAAAGAGTAGAATTTAATTATTCTTGTTTCTGGTGTCTACTATGATTTGGTCAACACTGTTCAAAATCAAAAGCACTTAAAGTGCGACCTTTGTTTTTTGTTGTTTAGGATGTTGCCAGAGTCTGGCCTGGAACTAAAATGCCTGGGCAGATGGGAAATCAGAGCAGGACTGTGTATGGACTGAAAGTAAGTCTGTTTGTAAGCTTATATGCAAAGGCCTAGAGCATTTGTCTTGTAGGCATGGAATTAGCTCATTCAAAGGATATTAAATTGAGTTGTACTGTAAGGGGGCTGCATAATTATATTCCACATTTACGTCATGAAATGAATAGTTGTTACAAAGAAAAAAAAGAGTGACCTACTATTTGAACTGGAATATTTTTCACAAGATACTGCAGGGGGAACAGGATTCCAAGCATTAGATGTAATACTCTCTTTTATAAAGAGAACAGGAGCTCCCCAGACATTATGTTTCTGTATAGTATGTCATCACAGAGAAGTTGAAGGTTCTATGCTGAGCTGTCTTGGATTATATGTGTTAAAAGAGAAGTTAATATTTCATCTACTAATCTGAGAAAATCTTTAATAGCTAAGTGCAAACATTTTGTACTGTAATGGATGTTATATGCTTATACTTTGATTAAACAACAAATATGTGTATACTTTTATGTATATGGCTCAAAGCATAGAAAGAACAAAGTAAGCCACTCTTAGCAACAACACCCAGAAATAATTGTTGCATTTTGTGTATGCTCTTCCCATATTAATTCTATATACATTTAATGTAGAGATTGTATATAATTTTATATAATTATGTCAAGCTTCTCCAGAGCAGGTGACTTCCGATGCTTGACTTTACAATCTGATAGGTAAACAAAGAGATATTTCTAGGATTCCCTTCTATGATTGTTTTAGGAAGACTGGGAGTCACACTGTAGGCTACCTATAGGCTGGAATTGCTGGAATGCCTGTAGCCTTGACTCAGTCCAGGATCTCAGCCAGGAAACCCAGTGATGAATTCTGAAGTCCTGAGAATGAGACAGGGCGTGGATGGGCACGGAGTCTGAAGTCTGGGAGCCTTGAGTTCAGATGACTTGGCGCAGGGTTTCCAGTGCGTCTCTTGGCCTTTCCATTTATTCTGGCCCCAGCCAATTGGATGGTGTCCACCCGCTGAGTGAAAGTGCACACAGAGACTCACTCTTAGTAACACGCTTACTAGCTCTGGAGCCTCATCTCTCACAAATTGTTCACTTCGTGTTGTAGGTGTGGAGAGTGAACACCAAGCACAACATTATCTACGTAAATGGCTCTGTCCCAGGACATAAAAACTGCTTAGTAAAGGTATGTACAACTATTTCACTTCTACCACTCAGTAATATGCGTTTATTTCCTAAATTCTTTTTATCTACGTAAATGGCTCTGTCCCAGGACATAAACTGCTTAGTAAAGGTATGTACAGCTGTTTCATTTCTACCACTCAGTAATATGCGTTTATTTCCTAAATTCTTTTGTGACCTGAATATGTAGCTTCTAAAGAAACTGTTCTGCTGCATGTTCTCTGCCCCATTTTCCTTGTCGTAGCACCTCAGTGAAAAGAAAAGATGCACTGTAAATAAGCCACACACCAGAGATGGGAATTCAAGAGCTTGGGGGAGAAAGGACTTCAGGGAAAGAAAGGAGCCGGTGCCAAAATGTCAGTATCCCTTTGTCCTTCCAGAAACAGATGAGTTTTGCTTTGGGCAAAAGAACTGGAAGTACTGAGATGGGAATCATGGTCCAGAAAGGTGACCAGGGCCGGGGTCTCAATGCCAGCACCAGAAGCAGAGCCTAGGAGCTTCCAAAGACTTATTACTATCCCCTGAAACCCACAAAGTAGACTCTGCCAAGCCGTGGTGATACAGGGTAGGCCAGGCTACTGCTTCTGAGCATGAGAAGGTTCATGGTTGACATCAATTGATTTAAAAACAAACAAACAAAAATAAACGGAAATCTCAGTTTTAACTGTTGTGTTATATATATTCACTTATATATATATCACCAATGCTGTTGTTATCAGAAACCCTCAGGTACAGTAGATATACAAAAGTGTAAATGTAGCTGAGCAGTTACTACTTGGACCCTTTATAACAATTTTTATCAAGCTAGCACATAGTTCTCTTATTGGGTGCTTTCCTGGTTTAGCTTGAGTCTAAGATTGGTGAATTGGAAAAAACTGAACATGATAGTTTCCTTCTGGCAATGTCTGATCATTTCTTGAAACAATTGTAATGAGGGCATTAAAATAGAACCGCTTTTAGATACTTAGTTGTTCCTAGCAGCTGTCGTTTTGACTAAATTATTCATTTCTCATTGCTAAAATGAATATGCCCTCTTTACTGTGTATAAGTGTATTTTTCACTCCCTGAATGAGGCTGCAGAAGTTCTGAGGGACCCAGTAATATCCAAAACTAAAATACAGCATTTTAGATCATACCAGTGTCTCTGCTAAAATGTATCCTCTATGAATCCATACATATTTGAAATATTTAGGTCATAAAATGTTGTCAGAGCTACTGTAAATGCTTATGGGTTTCTTTGTGTTGTTGTTATCATTCTGTCGTTAACGTCTCAATAAAAATGCTCCTTGCCAAATGTAAGCTAATTTCTTCAATAAAAGTGATGTTTTCCTTTTTGTGCTCTTAGAATTAACACTAACAAAAATGAATTCCATGTTTTTAAGCCTCATCTCCAAAATTTGGTTCGAAGTATAGTAAAAAGTATCAAAAAGAGCAGATAATAAAATGAGTAATTATTAGGTATTAAATCTGTATTTCATATCAAACCTTCATATTTGACAAATAAATGTGGATATAAAAGGTAAATGAGATGTAATTTTAAAATACCCATCCTGTTGGAGAGTTAAATACATACCCACAGTTACAGTAAGTATAAAGTGATAATTGGTGGTTTTATTCTTGTGAGGTAACTGATTCAATTGAGGAAAATTGGTTAATGAAACTTACTAGAATACAAAGAAAAGCAGCAGTTAGCAATGTCTTATCTGTTTGGAATAGTTGCATTCCTGCTCAAACACACAGGAACAGATAGGTAATTTTAAATACCATAGTGGTGGAATGACTTATGAGTAAGAATTTTTCCTGTATTCCATCAGGTCAAAGACTCTATACTGCCTGCGTATAAGGATCATTGTAAAGACCTGCCATTCCCTACTTACTTTCCTGATGGAGACGAAGAAGAACTTGCAGAAGACTTGTATGATGAGCACGTGTTGCAGCCCAGTGCACCTTCTGTTACATTTGCCTGATGTCACTGGCACGGCAGAACTTTCCAACTTTGTGTGCTTGTGCACTTGATGAACCAGAACAGTAGTAGAACCAGGAATGGTATCCTCTGCTCAGTTATGGTGCTGCGCTCTTTATCAAAGGACATGAATGCGTCATTTCCCTCACAAAAATCTGATTAGCAAACTTACTACATTAAATAAATCAGTCACATAGATTGCATTTGTTAAAGTTGACAGTTTGCAAAGAACAAAATGCCATTTGCAGGCATCATTCTTTAGACACATTTCCCTTTATCTTAAGGGTTTTTAAAAAATATATAAACAACTTTTATTTAAAAATTTATCTCTTAAAGTGTGGGTGTGAAACATAGAACCTGGGGGAAACCACATTGTTGCCTATTGGATCAAAGAAGTCATTTCTTTAAAAGTGTGTCATTCTTTTGGAGTTTAGAAATGTGAAGGGAGGATTTTTTTTTAATCTAAGTTACAGAAACCTGTACATTAAAATGAGGACTCAGTGGGCACATAGTCCCAGCACAGCCTGATCTCTGTGAGCAAGTCACTTCTTAGAATTCCTTGACTTCTGATTTGAGTTTGAACCTGACATACCATTTCAGAGTTTTGTCTTGAAATTAGGCATCATTTTTTTGTTGCCAGACTACATTTCAATTACCAGCATTTGTAACCAGGGATAGTACCAGAGCTTGAGTAATTCCATAAGCCTCAGGAGAATAAGCTGCTAACCAGAGTAGCACACACCTTAATCCCAGCTCCGGCTTGAGCTGAGGGCCAGCTAGAGCTACACAACCAGACTGATAATAAAAGGAAGCCAACTGGTCAAGGATTCCAGTTTCATTAGACTAAGGATGAGCCATCACTTTCTAGACTTCTAGGACCTTAGCCTCCCTGCTAAGGCAGCCAAAGCTGAAATCTAATGTCGATCAACCTGTCTCCATGGTGGCCCTGGCTTAGGTAATTAGATGATGCCAGTTGTCATGACATGAACACTGAGAGCATTTTTTACATGGACAGGTAAGGGGATAGAACCTACATGTCGGGAGTAGTTGACTTTAAGGCCTTTAGTACTCAGGTGCACACAAGGGATGGCATATGGGAATGACCTACACAGCTATCCACAGGTCACTTTGAATGGGTCTGTGTCTCTGTATGTGATGGGAATACTGCTGGGGCTATGGCCAGATGTTTTCTTTGGTGTGAGGAGCTTTATGATTTACAGTCTCACACAGACAAGCCAAGTCAGCACTGAGGTTGTCATTGCAGTCTGTGGCTGATCTAAAGAATCCCTTAAAAAAGGAAGTCAGTCCCAAGGACAGCATCTGTTGCTTGTGGTGATGTTGCATCTTCCTCGTAAGCCCCTTCCTGCAGAGGCACTGCCAGCCATGTCAACAAAAGCCAGTGTGGGAGGAGAAAGCTGTGCTGGTGTGCTCAGGTTACTGATGAGGTCATTGTTTGAACCTCTGTGATGATTCTGTGAAAGCCTTCAAACACACAGCATCGGCTCAGTAACATTGAGTCTCCTCTCCTAAAGCATGAGGCTGTGGTACCACCTCATTGATTTTTCCCTAGTGAGGTCTTTCCCTCGGAAAGATGGTGTGAATCTGAAAATGCATTGCCATCTGCTTTGCTGGATAACTGCCCAGACAGGAAGTGTGTCAGAAAGAATGGACTTGCATTGCCTGTCCTGTGTTGTAAAATACCCCTGTGAAGAGGGGGCATGTTGCTGATATCTGTTGGGCTAACCTGCTGAACTATGGCCTTTGGGGACACAAAAGTAGGTCACAATGCTGTGAGGCTGAAGCAAGCAGGCATCTTCAGGGACTCCATATGGATGTGTCCTCATGGCTACCAGTTTTCTATGTACAGAGTCTCCTTCATGAGAGACCACCTACTAACAGATTAAGTTGCTCCTGCTTTGGGGAATTTTCCATCCATTACCTTCATCCTAACAACAAATAGTTGTTCAGTTTCAGTCTCTTGTGTCTGTGAGGTGAGGCCTCTCGCACTATCAAACCAATAAATGACAGTGGTTTCTCAGTGTGAGCTGCCCCAGAAAGCTGGCAATGCCACTCAGATTCTGTCCCTACAGCTGCCTCAGGCTCCCTGAAGGGAAAGGACTCAAAGTGTCCTTGCTGCCCCAGCTGAGTCCTAGCCCTCATCTTCCATTTTCCACTTGTAAGTGTGGTGTGTAAGGTCTGTGACAGTGCATGCCATGGTTCTCTTCGTAGATTAATGAAGTGGACTGTTCATGTTAGATGAGCCAAATTCATCATAATGAAAGTCCATACCACAATAAAAGGTAATAAATGAACTCAGCTGGCCACAGTGCCCTGGCGTGGGGGGGGGGGGGCATGATTGCCATTGCCTGGTGGAGACTCGTGGTGACTGTGTCAGAAATGAATGGTAGGTAATAAATGGCTTTTTGCAAGCATCCAGCATAAATTCCCTTATCTAAAATGGTATCCTCTTCAAATGATGAAGCTAAGATGGCACACAGGTCCTGGGTGACTGTCCATTTCCCCAGCCAGCTGCAAAAGCGTTAACTCTGAAGTGCTCGTCCACTGGTATACTCACCCAGCCTCCTTTAGGAAGTGTGACAAGGTGCTAATAGCAGCCTGCCTGCTGCTAAAATCCACCATCAAGGATAGGACAAAGGTGAGGGTACCAACAGGAGATGGATGTTTAGGGAAACCAACCAAAGCTGAGGGAGTGGACAAAGAAAAGGCACTGTGCTGGGGAAACAGGGAAAAGCCATCACATAAAAACTTGAGACAGCCTACAGTACAGTGGGCTGCGTCTCCCTGCTTGTGTGGTTCATTTCACTAACCAGGTAACTGCATAGTAAGGATACCTCTGCTGTCACACAGTTGATTTAATGGTTCAAAACCCCTTTCTCCCAGAGAGTAGCGAAGGAAGGTTCTGTGGCCCTCAGCCATTGAGGTTTGAGATGAATGGAAGAGATGTTTACAGATACAAGCCTCACTTAACCTGTCTCAGCTGTTCCCACACTGGCCCCAACCCACTCCAGCCCCAAGTTAAAACTTGAAAACTTGAGCTTTGATTCTTAATGGGAGGGGACAGGCCTAAACACTGCTTCATAAAACTTCCGGGGATCACCATTTTACAGCCAAAGGCACTGACCTACAACACGCTTTAAAGATAGCCACAACCCTGTGGCAATGCATAGTTTAATAGAAATATGTTAATAATTAAGCCATTGGCCAAACAGTGTATAATTAATAGATGCTCGGTGTGTTCATTTGGGGCTAAACGGCTGTGGGGCCAGGTGGGAAAGAAACTCCGGTTACAGTGAATGAAATTAGGGCCGTCAGCATCCACCTCCAGCCCTGGCTTTCACTGAGCACCCACTTCTTAGATGGCTTGTACAATCCCATGTTCTTCCCACACACTGCCAGGTAGGTTTGCATTTTGAGGTAGTCCTGCTGTACATGTATCCCAGGCTGGCCTCAAACTCTTGGCAGTCCTTCCTTGATGCTGGGGTTAGAGACAGGCATGACCTCAGGTGGTTAGCTCTCCTTCACTGCTAAGCACATTGAAAAGTAGAGATTATATAGTGAGTGAAATGCCTTGAAAATCACACACTACAACTCTCTCATACTGGGCAGAGCCTGGCCTTCTAGTCACACAAATTGAATAGTCACTGCAGAAGGCCTTCATGGGGAAGATGTGGGAGGGGAAACCGGTCAGTATGTAAGATAAATGAAAACATAAAAAAGGAAAAATGTTTGAAAAGAAGTTCCCGTTCAAAGTCAGAGCTAGCCAGTAAGAAACAAGCAAGGCCAACAGCTTCATAATTAATATCTAGCGTCTTGTGTGTTCATTTGGGGACTACAAAGCGGCTCTGGAACCAGGCAGGCGGGCGGGAAGGCTCCTTCTCAAAGAAAAAGCGTCTCTTAACATAATGGTTGTCAGGAGCGGGATTGAATTTCCACGCAAAATAACAAAAGATTTAAAGGAATTTTAGAAACAGAAGAACAGAGAGAAGCACAGATTTTGGTAGCAGCATTTTTCTCAGGTGTGCTCTGTTTTGCTAGCGACAAGCCGAGATTCACGCGGCTCGCTTACGGGAGTCTTCCTGACTCGGCATAAAAAGAAAAAACCAGCAAGGTTGTTTTAAGAGACTCTGCTAACGATTAAAAGGTGTGTACGTACAGCTGGAAATGGCAGCATTTGCTGGATGTCAGCATAGACTGAGGCGGTAAGCTGGAATCACGCTTACGCCCGCCATCTTGAAAGCAGCAGTTTAAAACAGCCGCGGTTTTACAGATAAGACACGTGGCCAGAAAAACATAAAGATTTACAGTAAAGTCAGACTCGGATAAAGGAAAGCCTCTAAAGGTTTACAGTGTGTTTAAAAATATATGTGAGATTAAGAGAGAAAATAAAACAGCAAAGTGGTATATAAACATAAAAGCCGGCATTGTGGTGGCACACGCCAGTAGGATTTACTCCAGAGGCAGAGGCAGGCAGATTTCCAAAGAGAAACCCTGTCTCAGAGAAAAATAAATGAAAGTGAAAGAAATGAAGTAATAATAGATAAATAAGCCACGTAAAGATGGAAATACACAGAGAGTCTGGATACTGTAGGCTATTGTGTTTTTCAGTTTTTTGATTGCTAAGGAAGGAACAAATGCTAAAGTACACTTGATTATAAATGCTGCTGAATTAATCCAACTTCTATCTTTTAAAAATGCCTTGACTTCAAAATTTAAGTATAAGGATATGTTACTTGAGAAAGGAGATTTTGCTTATGTTTCCACAGAAAATGAAAAGCTGAGGATTCCTTCCAGACTTCTGTGGTTTGACGAACCAAGACCCCCGGAAGCAGTGGACCAGCTGTTCCAACAATCGAAACAGCTAAGATGATGCAGTTTTACAGACCCCGAAAATGCGGACTTATACAGGTTTCTGAGTTTTGTCATGATCCCCATGGTATGAACAGCGCCCCCTTCCAGCAGGAAGCAGTTTGGAATGAGCAACGTCCCAATTCCCATCTTGTTTATAAATCTTTGTTTTCATTTAAATGGGATTGTTTATAATTGGTTAATGATCACAACCAATCTCCTTTTAATGGTAAAAAGGGGAATTATGGTATGGGTATTGTTTTTCATTTATTGATACAAATTCAAGGTCAATTTTGTGATATGTATATTTCTCCTCTTGATTAAGTATTGTG